TCTCTCTCTCTCTCTCTCTCTCTCTCTCTCTCTCTCTCTCTCTCTCCTCTCTCTCTCTTTAAAAAAAAAAATTATTGACGGCCAACTATGCATGACAGCCACAGGCAGGGAAGGCTCTGGGCCAAATTAAGCCTCACACTGCTGTGGCCCTTCAGAGTAGGACTTCCTTGTCAGGAGGACAGCAAAAAGCAGCCCTGTCTGCAGATGGGCCGGGGTTTGTATCAGCTAGGATCAGGCTGGTTGAAAGTGACAAGAAAGTCAAACTCTGAGAACAAGACAAATGTTCTCTTCCCTTTGTAAATAAGGTTTGTCCAGAGGCAGCATGGTGGCTCATGAAAGCCACCCTCAGTTTGAACATAGGACTTCCTCCTCCCCACCCAGTGGCTCCAGCCATCACATCATCATTCCAATCAGCTGGAAGGGAGCCAAGAGCACCCAGCCTCTTTCCACTTCCCAGTGACCAGAACCTAGTCACATGGCCACAGCAAGAGGTCCTGAGAAATGTTAGTATTTCAGTCATCCATTTGCCCACCAAAAGATCCAGAATTCTGAGTAGAAAATTTGGTAAAAATAAAATAGACACTGAAGGACAAAGCGCAGCCTCTGCCAAAAAAATGGCAGACTCTACTAAATAAAATGGACGGATGGAAATTTTTAAAGGTGAGAAACGGTTTCCACTGAGGATAGCCTGAAGGGTGGGCTTCCTAAAGAAGGCATCTGGACAGTGAGGGGTAAAGAAAGGAGCGTGGGGAACTTGGTGAGCCAGCGCCACCGGCCTGTGGAGCCTGAGGGAGGCCAGTCTGGCACCACCTAGGCCAACAGAAGGTAAGTGGCCCAGACCTGGCCATGTGGTTACCAGGCTCCCACTGGACAGACAGGAATGAAAAGTCTGTTGAAATGACTCCTGGTCCTTTATTTGAAAGGTCTCCTTACTGGTTTTGTTTTTGTGACAGTGTTATCATTTTAAGATGGGGCCAGAGACAGGAGGAGGATTTTATTATTGTTTTAAAAACGGCCTCGCTAAGTTGCCCAGATTGGCCTCGAATTTGGGATCCTCCTGCCTCCTCCCAAGTTGCTAAGATTACAGGCGTGTGCCACCGCATCCAACTAGGTCTTTTTAAATGTCCCTTTTTTGCTGGGCACAATGGCACATGCCTGTAATCCCAGCTGCTTGAGAGGCTGAGGCAGGAGGATTGCAAGTTCAAACCCAGCCTCAGCAAAAGTGAGGCGCTAAGCAACTCAAGTCTCTAAATAAAATATAAAAAAGGGTTGGGGATGTGGCTCAGTGGTTGAGTGCCCCTGAGTTCAATCCTCAGTAATAAAAAAGCAAATACAAAAAAAAAAAAAGTCCCTTTTTGCAGAATAAAGTCAGCAATCAAGGCTGGGGTTGTGGCTCAGTGGTAGAGTGCTTGCCTAGCATGTGTGAGACACTGTATTTGATTCTCAGCACCACATATAAATAAACAAATAAAATAAAGTTCCATCAACTTCCAAAAAGAAATTAAAAAAAAAAAAAAAAAAAGCAATCAGATCAGAGTCTCCAAAGCAGTACTGGCCCATGGACGGCCTGGGGTGGAGATGAGAGCCTTGGAGGGGCTGGAGAGCAGCTGTGGCTCGGCCTGCTGGAGCCTCGTGCTCCAGTCAGGAACTGCTCCGTGACAACCACAGAGGCCCAGGCTATGCTCTGGGAAGGGATCTGGAGGCCCCCAGCTGGAGGTAAGGAGCACTCAGAAGGGCTCCGGCTCAGGGAGGCTCTGCTCTGGCTCCCCGTGCTCAGATAACTTGCCAGATGCATTTTCCACCAAGCCAGACCATGTAATGGCCAAATTTGTTCCCACTCAGCCACAGCTGTTTGCCTGGATGAACACATGCTTTTAAAATGATTCTGTTGAGTGCCAACTGCCTGATAAATCTCTCCACGACAGACACCTGGTGGCAGTCCCACCGAAACCATCAAAACCATTACTTTGGAAAATGGCCATAGGCTCTCCTCTCCCCGCCTTCCTCCTTCCCCTTTAAAGTTACCACCACTTAGGGGTTGGGACAGTGACCCCATCAGCCAGCCAGCCATGCTTTACCACTTAAGCTCCCACGCTCCTTTCTCTGAATTGGGGGAAATGTCTCATAGGTAATCCGGTTTCCTCCTGATTTTCAGTGTCTATGGTTCAGATGGGAGTGAGGCTACTTAGGGCAAAACCACAGGTTTTCCTTCTCATGATCTGGCGTGGCATCTAGTGCTCTCCATCTGGAGACTATTTTGTCAAAACCTTTTCTAGGGCCTTATTTCTTGAACCTGAAAAGTGTGTGCAACTCTTGCACACTCTAGCCTGAAGGCCAAGGCTCCACGGAGGGCAAAGGGTGTCACAGTCTCACTGGACAATCCACATGGGGCAGCTTTGTTCAGCCTGTTAGGATGGGATGGGCATAGCCATGCACCATCTAGATAGGAATCCAAGCCAACTGGCCCACAGGATACTGGGCCTCAGACATTCACTCAGCCCATCATCTGGTGCCTCCCAACTACAGACACCATCCCTAGGCTCCTGGAGCTTAGTCCAGCTCAGGATACACACACAAGGAAACTGACCTCTACAGCCCAGAAGCAAGACTGTCTAGATGGAAGTACAGGCTACGGAAACACCTTTTCCCAAGTACAGACTGGACCAACTCTACTAGCTGGGCAGAGTGACTCCACCTTATCCTTAGGTTCTCCATGGGAACTGTCTCCTGGGAGTTTTGGGGTTTTGTTTGTTTGGGGGGTAGGACTGGGATTGAACCCTGAGGCTCTTTACTACTGAGCCACATCCCCACTCCTTTTTATTTTTTAAGATGGTCTCATTAAGTTGCTGAGGCTAACTTCAAACTTGCTATCCTCCTGCCTCAGGCTCCTGAGCTGCTGGAATTACAGATGTGCCACTGCGCCTAGCAATCCTTCAACTGCCTTGGCTTACATCCCTCTAGAAGCATGCAGTCAGCCAAGGCCCATATTGCTCTTGAAGTTGCACCTACTGATACACAACATTGTGCCCTTCATCCTAGTTACAGAAACGGAAAGTCGGTTGTGGTGGAACACACCTGTAATGCCAGCTCCTGGGGAGGCTGAGACAGGAGGATCATAAGTTCCAGGTGAGCCTGGGCAATTTAGCAAGACCCTCTCTTAAAATAAAATGGAAAAGGCAGGGATGTAGCTCAGTAGGAGAGTGCTTGCCTAATAGAGAGGGGGAATGTGCTCCCACTCCAGGTGGTGGCTATAAAACGTCAGTCAAAAACACATCACTGACACTGTCACGAAGACAGAAGAACGTATTACCAGCTTCATCTCCTTCCTTGGCATTCGAACTGCGCAGAGAGCAATTAGCATTTAATATTTGGTAATTAGCATGCTTAATGTGATTCTGAGGAGTTCCTTGACATTTTTATAAAAACAGCACATTCCCGCCCACCCTTCAAAGGGCAAGACCCAATGTGTCAAAAAGAAAAAAGCATGCCAGTCTTCTGATGCTGAATATGCATGTGTTGGGACTCTTCCTGGACACTCCCAGTAAATTTAGAAACTCATTTAGAAGAGAAAAAAAAAAAAAAACCAAAAACTTATTCGGCAGCCATCCGTCCAAGACGCAGGGAATCTAGGGGAAGTGGCTAAATTCAGCTTATCAAGTCGCAGGCTGTGATGAACCTTTCAAATTAAAAGAAAAAAAAATCTTCCGTGAGCCCCCAACTAACCCGGGACCCGTGGCTCCACCGCGGAGCCACAGCTGCGGACGCAGGAGGATACATTCTACTCCCGCGCGGCAACATCGTAACCCTTGGTCTGACACTGTAGCCGCCCGCGCCCGCTCCTGCTGCCCACAGCCTGGAGCCCCCGCCAGCAGGTCCCAGCGCCCCAACGCTCCGCGCCTTCCCTCCGGTGTCCCCCAGCCGCTCGCCCGGGCCTGGAAGGGCGGCCCTCGGCCCCTCCGGACCCCTGCGAGGGAGCAGGGCCTGGCCTGCGCGAAGCCGGAGGAGAGACCCCGGACCCCTTCCGCCCGCGCAGCCCGCCCCGGAACCCGCCCGCGACCCGGACCGCCCGGCCGCAGCCCCGGCCTGGCCCCACGTGGCCCCGGAGCAGACCGCACTACCGTGCTGTCTCCGACGGACCGCGCGCCTCAGCCAATCGGCGGCGCGCTGCGGACTGGCTGCCAATGAGCGACCGGCGAGGCCGCGCCGCCGATTCGCCGCGGGCCCGCTCCCGCCTCGCCATTGGAGGGTTAGGGCTCCGCCCCCCACCGGCAGGCCCCGCCCCTCAGGCCGGGTTAGGTTGCGGCGCGGGCGGCGGGCGGAGCTGGTCCCGTTGTGCTGCGGCTCCGCGCGGCCTGCAGTCCCGGGCCCGCGCCCCGCGCCGCCCGCAATGGAGCCCGGCCCCGACGGCCCCGCCGCCATCCGCGAGGGCTGGTTCCGCGAGACGTGCAGCCTGTGGCCTGGCCAGGCCCTGTCGCTCCAGGTGGAGCAGCTGCTCCACCACCGGCGCTCGCGGTACCAGGATATCCTTGTCTTCCGCAGGTACCGCCACCGGCTCCCAGCCAGACCGCAGCTGCCCGGCTCCGGGACCCTTGCAAGCTCTGACCCCCGCCGGCCCTCGTCCTGCCCTCATTCCGGCCCAGCCACCCCTTCTGGCCGAGCCGCTGTCCTGCCTTCCTCCTCCCGACGCCCCCGAGCGCCCTGCCTGCCGCCCGCCCCCTGCAGAACTGTCAGAAGTTCTTAGGAACTAGGCCCTGCTCCTGCCTGGCCCCCTCCCCGCCGTGCACCCGTGCCCAGGGGCTGGGGGAGGCGTTCCATGCAGGCCTCGGGCAGGAGGCAGCCAGTGTGCGCCACGCTCCACGTGTCAGTCCCAGGACACGTCAGCCGAGGAGACCCCGAGTCCCACCCCAGACCCCACCCCGTGGGCTGGCCTGCCATCCCCGCCACGCGTCACCCTCTCTACTTACCCCTGAGACCCTGTGGCGGGGTTGGGGCACATTCCCTCACCCCAGAAGACTCAGGCCCCCGACTGTCACTCCACCCGCAGTAAGACCTACGGTAACGTGCTCGTGCTGGATGGCGTCATCCAGTGCACGGAGAGGGACGAGTTCTCCTACCAAGAGATGATAGCCAACCTGCCTCTCTGCAGCCATCCCAACCCCCGAAAGGTACCCTGCTCCAGCCCGGAGTCAGCCGTGAGTTCTGAGGAGCAGGGCTGGGCTAGAAGAGGCCCCGGACATGCCCACGCCTGGCCCATGCTGCCTAGAGGCCTGTCAGAGAAAGCGCTGGCAAGGCTGAGGGGAGTCCCTGGGTGGACRGAGGCTGACGTTGCCTCTGGGGAGCAGTCCCCCTGAGACCTGAACCTTAGAGCAACCCTGGGAGGGGCTTCCAGGAAAAGGGGACAGCCCTGGCCAGGTTGCTGAGGCTGGAAGGCATTTCTGAGAGTAGTGAATGGTTCTGTAGGGTGGCCCTGCTCCTTGCCACTCAGACCTTCAGGGCCCCTGCCTCTGACTGTCCCCCACCCCAGGTGCTGATCATCGGAGGCGGAGATGGTGGCGTCCTGCGGGAGGTGGTGAAGCACCCCTCCGTAGAGTCTGTGGTCCAGTGCGAGATCGACGAGGTGAGTGCATGCCTGCTTGTCCCRCTTCACCCAGACCTGGCCGCGCTTCCTGGGCAAGGCGCTGCACCTTGCTGGGAGGATTCCGTGGGAAAATGGCACGCAGAGCTCCACGGCGCTAGTTCTTAATAGGCTCGGGACACTTCCAGTTAGTAGGACTCTTTATACTGGGCCTGATTTTAGTGCTCATTGACTCTGCTGGGTATTGCTGGAGGTGCTGGGGTCCAGTAGTAGACAGGGGTGTCCTTTACCCTGGGCGATGAAGTTACAAGTTGGAGGAGACCTCAGAGGGGGATGTGATAAGGCTTGACAGGGCCAGGGAAGACACAGGCCCAAGAGTGCAGGGTAATCGGGACAGGCCTCCCGGTGCAGCATTTAAGCTGGAGCCTGAGCAGAAGCCGCTGGTGGGGCGGAGACCAAACAGGGTTCTCGCGGCCAGGGTCTGGCGCTGCAACCTCTGACGTAGGAAATGGGAAGCAAGCTGTGCAGCTGGGGTAGTTGGCCTGTGGGGAGGGGAGAGGGATAGTGGGAGATGAGGTCTGAGCTGCAGGCAAGAGCCAGCACCCCGTTCCCATGAGGAGCTGTGTGCCAGAGTTCTCCCCATTTTAAAGGTGTGGACACTGAGGTTCCAAAAAGGAGGGGCTTGTCCAAGGTGACCAGGCTCCCAGAAGTACTCCTGGGAGTCCCACTCGACTAGCTCCAGAGCCCAACTTCCTTCCTGCTCCTTCCTGTTCCCTCCTCAGGATGTCATCCAGGTCTCCAAGAAGTTCCTGCCGAGCATGGCTGTTGGCTACTCCAGCTCAAAGCTGACCCTGCATGTGGGCGACGGTTTTGAGTTCATGAAACAGAACCAAGATGCCTTCGATGTGATCATCACTGACTCCTCGGACCCCATGGGTGAGCAAGGGCTGAGGCCTGCACACCCTGCAGCCGCTGCTGCTCTAAAGTCAGCCTCTCGGGGGAGAGGACAGGAGGGTCCCTGAGACTACAGCTACACTTTCCCCTCGTCAGTTGCTACCCTCCTGACAGGAGGGAAGAGACCAGGCCACTGCCTCAAGTTCACAAGTCTGGGGACCTGAGAGTGGGGATTAGACATTGGCCTCCCCTCTGCCCTGGACTGGCCTACATTGGGTGGAGAATGAATTCTAGTCTTTTTTGAGGGGAGGGGATACCAGAGATTGAACTTGGGGGCACTTGGCCACTGAGCCACATCCCCAGCCCTGTTTTGTATTTTATTTAGATACAGAGTCTCACTGAGTTACCTAGCGCCTCACTTTTGCTGAGGCTGGCTTTGAACCCCCATCCTCTTGCCTCAGCCTCCTGAGCAGCCGGGATTACAGGCGTGCACCACCACRCCCCACAGGTTCTAGTCTAAAACCAAGGCTAGAGTGTTTTTCTGACCACAAGAATCCCCCCAGAAAGGGACTGGTTAAGTAGAGGGCCCTTCACATACGGAGGGGGTGAGCCTCCCCTGGCCTGGCCAGGTCCTGAATCCCACGGACCTGGGTTCCAATGTGAGCTCCACCTCTGGGCAGCTGTGAGGGCCTGTGGTGAGTTGGCAGTGGGTGGCCCCAGGTCTCAGCCACGGTGTGTCCATGCCCTCCCTGAAGGCCCCGCGGAGAGCCTCTTCAAGGAATCCTACTACCAGCTCATGAAGACGGCGCTCAAGGAGGACGGCATCCTCTGCTGCCAGGGTGAGGCTGCCGGGAGCTGAGGGGGGGGGGGGGGGGGGTGGCCCTGCGGGCTGACGCTGTGGGCCTCCCCCAGGCGAGTGCCAGTGGCTGCACCTGGACCTCATCAAGGAGATGCGGCAGTTCTGCAAGTCCCTCTTCCCGGTGGTGGCCTACGCCTACTGCTCCATCCCCACCTACCCCAGCGGCCAAATCGGATTCATGCTCTGCAGCAAAAACCCGGTGAGCTGGCGGCTGCCCCCAGGGCGGGCGCCGGTGGGCAGAGCCCCGCCTTGATGCCCTGTGTCCTGGGTCCCCAGAGYACCAACTTCCGGGAGCCGGCGCGGCCGCTGTCGCCGGCGCAGGTGGAGCACATGGCGCTGCGCTACTACAACGCCGACGTGCACCGCGCCGCCTTCGTGCTGCCCGAGTTCGCCCGCAAGGTGAGCGCCGCCGCCGGGCTCCGGAGCCACCTGGTGCCACACAGCCCTGAGCGTCCCCTGACGGCCCCCTGTCCTACCAGGCCCTGAACGACGTGCGCTGACCGGAGCCGCTGCAGTGCCGCCCAGGACCGCGGGCTGGACGGGGCGTCTCCAGCGTGCCCAGGCCGCGGCCCGGACCGGACCCCCGCCAGCTCTCGCCCACCGACCAAGTGTTACAGGCCCCGGAATGCTGCCCGGCCTGCCTGCTGGGCACTCTGTCTGTCTGTCTCTCTGGCGTTCCGCCCAAGCCTAGACCAGCTCTGTACAGACGCGCCTCTGCCCTCTCGCCCCTCAGCAAACACGTGTATTTATAACAAAGTTTGCCATTGTGTCCCCGAACGCCGCCAGCCCCAGCAGGAGCCCCATCTGTGGTTGTGGGTGCTCCCGYGAGTGAGGGTCTGCATGCCCCGTCCCCACTGTGACATGGGCCTGCCCCTTGACTTCCGGCCAGTGACACTACAGTCACCAAACCAGCCCCAAATCTGTCCCAGGAAGCTGATGAGCCATTGGAACCCTTATTAGCAAGGTCCCAGGCTCATACCCCTGGGCCAGGGCCCTGGGACTGACAGGGTGGGGGGTGCTGCTAAAAGGGCTTCAGTCTGTCCTGGGGCTSCCCCCAGGATCCCAGGATTTCCACCTCGCAAGATGAAAAGTGTCACCCCTGTACCAGGTGGGCACTGAGGGGTGTGACCCAGAGGGGGCTGGTTGGACTAGGGTAAGAGCTCAGTTACCTGGGGCCTGTTAAGCACATTGGGAACTTGGCCAGGTTCTGGCTCAAGCCTGAGTCAAACACTGCCTCCCCTCCCCCAACCTTCAGTTCCTTCTGGAACATTCCTTTCAGCTACCCCCAGGGGTTCAGGCTGAATACAGGGGTGGTAGTGCCCTCGGCTGTTACCTCTCCAAGGTGCTGAACCTGTGGCCCTCAGTGTCCTGGGAGCCTTGTCCTCCTGCTGTCCAGGACAGGGGCTTACTGGATACCAAAGCCACCAGGAGGGACTTGGATCCAGGTGCAGATTTGGGAACAGAGGGCCCTGCCCCACCCTGCTCTGGAGACCGGCCTGAGAAAGCCTGGTCAGGGATGGGTCTGGAGGAGGGGCTGACAAGGACTGGGACTAGGGAGTAGCCCTGGCTGGGGGTGGCACTGGGATTCCTCTCCTTCCTGGGCCTCCACCTTAGGGCCCTGAGTTGACAAGAGGGTTTCGGGGACATCTGGAATGATGGGGGGTGGGGAGCCAGGGCCCAGCTTCACCAGGACTCTGGCCTCAGGCCAGCTACTGCCCGTCTCTGGGCATGGCCCACCCTGCTCTCCTTCCACCCCCATAGGCCCACGGGTCTCTGAGCATGTTCTGACCTTTGCCCCCACAGCAAGTCTGACCTCAGTCTAACCTTTCCCCTTTACCCCCTTATCCCAGGCAGTCCTAGAAGCCAGGCTAGGGGACTGGGGCCTTCCCTGGTGTCTCCCAACTCTCAGGGAGGCCCCAGTGAGGCCAGGAAGCAGCCGTAGCCACAGGGCCCAGCCACTGGTGGTCAGGGAGGCTGTCACTTGCTTCCTGTAGGGTTCAGCAGGGCCAGGCTCCAGCCTGGGGACCAGGCATCTTACTGATCACAGTCCTGAGCATGAAGCTATCCCCTCCCCACCCTGAAGGTGAGGCAGGTGATAGGGGTCCCAAGCAGGCAGCCATCCTTTTAAGAACCATCCCACCCCTGCAGGCCAGGGCTCCTGGCAGGGGGGCCTGCTCAGACCCCTCTCCACYTCCCGGCAGCCCTATCTCAAGGGTGGCCCGGGCAGGGGTCACTGCTGGGGAAAAGGGGGGGCTCCCTTAGGCCCTGAAGTCCTGGGGGTTGCAACTCGGTGTAGAGCGCCCCCTGGGCTCGTGCTCAATCCCTGTGTCAGGACACCTGTCGGCAGGGGAGAGGAGCCCGGGCAGAAACGGCCCTCCCTGGTGTGGTCGGCCAGGGCACAGCCTCCYCTGCAGGGTGGAGGGACCCGAACTCTCCCACCCACCACAGAGGGGCATCTTCAAGGTCCCGCCCTGGGATGGGCAGGGGACTGATAGGCTGGAGCAGCAGCAGCCTTGGTGAGGATGGGACCGAGTCCCCCCCAAGGTGCCAGCAGTCTTGAGGSCTGCAAAACAGCCCAGTTTGTGACAAGGGAAATAAACTCAATCCTACCTGATTTTTATTTTTGGTACCAGGGATTGAGCCCAGGAGCTTAACCACGGAGCCACATCCCCAGCCCTTTTTAATATTTTATTTTGAGACAGGGTCTGGCTGAGTTGCTTAGAGTCTCGCTTTTGCTGAGGCTGGCTTTGAACTCATGACCCTCCTGCCTCAGCCTCCTGAAGTGCTGGGATCACAGGTGTGCGCGCCACTGCACCCAGCAAAATTTCTTCAATGAGCTGCATCCCTGGTCATTCTCTGGCCTGGCCGTCCACACCAGGCACAACATCCTTCTTGCTGGAAGCAGTCCCTTATTCTCTTTGAGCTGATTATTTTGGAATTTATCTTCTGTGATATAAAATGAAATATATTTGGTCTTTGTCCCCAGTTTCTGACACAGAGTCATAAAACACTCTGGCGTTTCCTGATAACTAGTATCTTTAGGCATTCTAAATCCGCTCCTTTTAAAGGCACCTGAGCGTATGCTAATGAGGTGAGTTAGGGTAGGGCCACGGGGAAGATGGGGTGATCAGAGGGACAGGATTTACAGCCCCACCTGCCGGAGGACTCAGGAAGGGAGTGGAGTTTAGGCTTTGTAAACACTTTTAAAGGTTTTGTTTGTTTTATTGTTTCCTGTTTCATTCCCCCTCCCTCCTGAACCAAGGCTTGAACCCAGAGCTACATCCCTAGACCTTTCTATTTGGGCACCAGAGATTGAACCCAGGGCCCTCAACCACTGCTTAGAGCCTCACTAAGTTGCCAAGGCTGGTTTCAAACTTGTGATCCTCTTACCTCAGCCTCCTGAGTCGAGGGGATTACAGCTGTGTGCCACAGCCCCYAGCTGTTTGATTTTTGAGGCAGAGTTTGGCTAAGACTGGCCTCAAAYTGGCCTCGGCCTCTGCAGTCCCWGGGATTACAGGCGGGCKCCACCACGCCTGGTTTGTAAGCACTCTGGGCAAAGAGATCTGGTGGCTTGAAGGTTCTGGGCTCACAGGTGACAGTCAGCGGAGCCTGGGCAACACCCTTTAGAGTAACCCAGTGCAGGCGCTGACCCGCCTTCTGTGATCTGTCCTAGCAAATTCATGGAACCCAAGGGTCCCCAGAGGGACCTCTGATTTATAGTAGGTTGGCCAGAAGTGAGGTTGGCATCAGAGTGGGGCCAGTCTTGTGGGACTGAGCCCTCACCCTGTGGGGTACGGCGCCATCTCCTGGTAGCTGGTGTCTGGGCAGAACAACTCGGTGCACAGGAAACAACTCGTGGTGGTTGTATGTCTGCAGTGAAAGAGAATTGTTGGTTTGTGTGTTTCTTATCTTTGTGTCTCTAGATAACATGCTCATGTTACTACTTCTGGACTTATATTAGCCATAATCTCTCTCTCTCTCTTTTTTTTTTTTTTTTGTACCAGAGCTTGAGCCCAGGGRTGCTTAACCACTGAGCCACATCCCCAGCCCGATTTTGTATTTTATTTAGAGACAGGATGTTGTCGAGTTGCTTAGAGCTTCACTAAGTTGCTGAGGCTGGCTTTGAATTTGCAATCCCCCTGCCTCAGCCTCCGGAGCTGGGATTACAGGTGCGCACCACCGCACACAGCTCAAGCCATAATCCCTTGATTTCCAGCTCGGGAAAAGGAGGACTCCTTCCCTGCCCCTGCCCCACTCCCCACAGCTGAAATGCAGTCTGGATTAGCTGGGTCTTCAGTGTTTGCACTGTGACATCAACATGAGCCTGGCTCACGCTGGCTGGCCCGGATGACGAGGGGATTCTGTGGCTCTGACCTCCTACACAGCTCCCAGGAGCTTGGTCATTCGCSGGTTTTCATTTCCTTTGTTCTTAATGAGTTCATCACTGATCAGCCTTAAACTTTCACACTTGCCTAAAGCTCCTTTTATGGTCTTTAGGCTCAACAGGTGTCCGCAGCCTCCTCACTRCCCCAGTGGAAGCCCCTCTCGGGCCCGAGTCTTCCCGTTGGTGTTCCCCTTGGTTCTAGTGGAGCATGTCCCACGGTAGCTTTCTGAGGAAAGGAACGTGGAGAGCCAGCTTTCAGTTCTGACATGTATGAAAATGTTTTTTCCGCCCTCAGGCTTGCTTGACTGATAGGTAAAGCCTCAGGTGGAGGACTCTGAGCTCACAGGTGGGTGGCCAGACATTCCACCCCACTTAGAGGCCTCAGCTCCTTCCGGGAACCTCTCCAGAGGATATTGAAGTGGCCTGGTGACCTGGCGGCTAGCTTCCCCCAAAACAAGTGCTCCAAGAGCTGAGTGGACGCTGCCACRTCGTGTGTGGCCAGGCCACGCCAGCTTCAGCGGCACTCTGCCTAGAAGGCCTACTTGTATGTGTAAGACCACAAGAGGGTGTGACACCCCAAAGCACGAGTCACCAGAGGCCACCTGAGAGTCGGACTACYGTACCCTTCTAGCTCCTTTCTTTTTTGGCAGTGGGAGGGGTACTGGGGACTGGACCCAGGGGTGCTCTGTTACTTAGCTACATCCCCGGCCTTTTTTTCTTAATTTGAGGCAGGGTCTCACTAAATTGCTGAGGCTGGCCTCTAACTTACGATCTTCCTGCCTCAGCCTCCTGAGTCACTGGGATTACAGGCGGGGGCCACTCTTCTGGCTCTTGAGAGTTTCAAGGTGTCCCCCCCCCCTTTTTTTTTTTTTTTTTTAGTTGGACACAACACCTTTATTTTTTTATCTGTCTTGATTTATGTGGTGCTGAGGGTTGAACCCAGCACCTCACACATGCCCGGCGAGCACTCTACTGCTGAGCCACAGCCTCAGCCCTCAAGGTGTCCCTTTTCCTGACCCTTTGGATGTGATTTTCTAGGAGTTTCCTTCCCCCTCTGCTCTCCTACTCTCCTGGTAGGACATGATTTCTCCCTCCAGGGTTTTGAAATGGAATGTGTAAATGTCTAAATTTTTATCTGTTTCTTGGGGCCCTTGGAGACACTTTGTTTTTCATTATTTATTTGTTGCTTACTTTATTTTTTGGTGCTGAGCCTCATCCCCAGCCTTTATTATTTTCATTTCGAGACAGGGACTCACTAAGTTGCTTAGGGCCTCACTAAATTGCTGAGGCTGGCTTTGAACTTACAACTCTCCTGCCTCAGCCTCCTGAGTTGTTGGGCTTGCAGGCTGGCCCCACCACSTCCAGCTACGAC